ACCAGAAAATGTTCCGCGAATATCTGCTCAAAGTTGCCAAGACAACCCTCAGCTCGAAAATTGTGCACGTCGCACACGATCACTTCGCAGAGATTTGCGTGGACGCGGTCCTCAGGTTGAAGGGTTCAGGAAACCTAGAAAACATTCAAATCCTCAAGAAGGCTGGAGGATCTATGCGGGATTCGTTTCTTGCACCAGGCTTTATTCTAGACAAGAAGATTGGGGTTGGACAGCCGAAGCGTGTTGAGAATGCCAAGATTTTGATTGCGAACACTCCTATGGACACTGACAAGATCAAGATTTATGGAGCCAAGGTGAAGGTTGATTCTCTCAGCAAGGTTGCAGAGATTGAGCAAGCGGAAGCAGCAAAGATGGTGGCAAAATGCGACAAAATCATGGCGTGTGGTTGCAACGTCTTTATCAATCGCCACATCAGCCCCGAAAGCTTTCCATACTTTGCGGACAGGGGCGTCATGGCAATCGAACACGGCGATTCCGATGGAATCCAACGACTTTTTCTAGTACCTGCCGCCCCTCCCCCTCCTCCTCCTCCATCCCTTCCTCCCTCCTTCTCCATCCCCTTCGGCTCTTCTCCCTCCACCTCCCGCACTCTCACCAGGTCGAAGAGCTTGAAGACGTCTGCCTCGTGCAAGAGAGCGTCGTTGTCAACATACAGCCTGTGAAGTCATCAGAAGGGGCGGGAGAAACGTAAGAAGAGGGAAAACAAAGGTGGTAGAAGGAGCAAGAGAGGAGCAGCAGAAGCAGCAGGGAGAGGAGCAGGAGCAGGAGGAGCGGCCGCAGGTTTGAGTTTAGGGTGCAGGCTCAAGCTTGTGACCTGTCAGGTCCTGCCAGCAAGTTTCTTATCTGAGCGTCACTCAACCCGCTCGCAACCTCCTCGAATCCTAAATTGTTGAGCGCCAGCCTGGGAAAAGAGATGAGCGTTTGAAGAGGAGGAGGAGGAGGAGGAGGAGGAGGAGGAAGTAGGAGGAGGAGGAGGGAGGAAGAGGAAGTAGGAGGAGGAGGAGGAGGAGGAGGAGGAGGAAGTAGGAGGACCTGAAGTATTCTGAGTTCATTCTCCACTCATGTCTGGAGGCATCGTAGAGCACAGAGCTCTGAAAAACTCTTACAAGACGATCGAAGAAAAGGGGAGCAAGGAAGACGAAGGG